GATCGGGGTGGGGGTTGGGTATATGCTGGAGTTTGGGTGGGGATTGGGTATGTGCTGGAGTTTGGGTGGGGCTTGGATCGGGGGAGGGGGTGTGCTGGTTTGGTTAGGTTGTAATGGGGTGCTGTGTTAGGGATGTAATGGGGTTGGATTAGGGAATGCAATGACGTTTGGGCTAAATCACAACCTCACATTTTGGGAGGCAAAGAGCAACTCAAAGCCATATGGGGACACCTACTGCCGACCAGTAATAAGTAAGGCAAGGGAGGCCAACCAGTCTATCTAGCACGACAGCCCGACTCAAGTTGATTGTTAAATGACTTCAGAGTTTTCAAACCTTGCGTTGCTACATCCAGAAGTTGTTGCCATGTTTTGTGAAAAATAGTTCAGCACTTGAGAAAGAAGGAATAGCATTTTTGGTCTCACAGCGTTCTGGTAAATGTCTACAGTCACCAGCAACACCTAAAGCTCATTCAGCTGACGTGTGATTCAGGGATCATGGTATTGCAAACAGTTTACAGTGTTTGCTTTCATAATAACAGTCTGCATTTTACATTACATCACAGCAAACCATAGAATCACATGCAATCCAGAGTACAAAGGCCATTCAGCCCAGAATGGCAATCCCTGAGTTTATGCTCCACACAAGTCTCCGCTCCACTGAAGTTACCTCTTTCTAACCTGCTACCATTTCCCTCTATTACATTTCTCTCAAATATAGGGTGACATGGTGGCTCAGTAGTTAGCACTGCTGCCTCGCAACGCTGGGACCTGGATTTGATCCCACCTTTGGGCAACTGTCCATGTGGAATTTGCATATTCTCGCCGTGTCTGCGTGAGTTTCCTCCAAAGTCCAAAGATGTGTAGTTTGGGTGGATTGGTCATGGGAAATGCAGGATTACAGGGATAGGATAGGGTAAGGGTGTGGGTCTGGGTGGGATGCTGTTCAGAGGGTCAGTATGGACCGGATAGGTCAAATGGCCTGCTTCCATAGCGTAGGGATTCTATGAAAACCATCAGATAATAGGAGCAGAGTTAGGCCATTTTATCCATCAAGTCTGCTTTGCCATTCAATCATGGCTGGTATGTTTCTCAAGCCCGTTTACCTGCCTCCTCCTGTGACCCTTGATTCCCCTTAGTTAAAAAATAACTATATCTGTTTTAAATACATTAAATACAGCCCTCAGTGGCAATGAGTTCCACAGATTCACCACCTGGCTGAAGACATTCCTCCTCATTTTTGACGGGTTGTAAAGGGTTGGCCCATCACTGAGGCTGTGCCCTCGGGTCCAAGTCTCTCCTGCTAGTGGATACATCTTCTCCATATCCACTCTATCCAGGCTCAGTATTCTGTAAATTTCAGTAAGATCCCGCCCTCATCTTTCTAAACTCCATTGAGTAGTAACCCAGAGTGCTCAACTGCTTCTCTTATGACAAGCACCCCTCCAAGGCTTTAGATAAGAGGCCCAAAACTGCTCACAATTTCCAAACATATCTCTGCTGTTGTATTCTGATACTCTTGAACGGAATGCAAACACTGCATTTGCCTTCCTACACATTAACCTTAAGAAAATCCTAAACTAGGACTCCAGAGTACTTTTGTGCTTCACATTACTGAAGCCTTTCCCCATTTAGAAAGTAATCTCTGCCTCTAGTGCATAACCTTACATTTTGCCACATTATATTCCATCTGGCACTTCTTTGGCCACTCTGGGGAGGCAATGGCCCAGTGATATTATCACTAGACTGTTAATCCAGAGATTCAGCTAATATTCTGGGGGTGGGGGGTCTGGGTTCAAATCCTGCCATAGCAGATGGTGGAATTTGAATTCAATATTAAAAACTTGAGAGTCTAATAATGACCATGAAGCCATTGTCAACAGTCAGAAAAACCCATCTGGTTCTTTAGGGAAAATGTCCTTTAGGGAACGAAACTGCCATCCTTACCTGATCTGGCCTACGTGTGATTCCAGACCCCAGCAATGTGGTTGACTCCTAACTATCCTCTGGGCAATTAGGGATGGACAATAAATGCTGGCCTAATCAGCGACGCCTACATCCCGTGAATGAATAAACATCCTTGTCCTTCGGCAGCCTCTCTCCCTCATCAACACGATCTGTCCCCCCACCTATCTTTGTGTCACCTGCAAACTTAGCATCAATGCCTTCAGTTCCTTCATCCAGATCGTTAGTGTTTAACAGGAATAGTTGTGGTCCTAACATGGACCCCTGCGGAACTCCACTAGTCACTAGTTGCCATCCTGGAAAAGACTCCTTATCCCCACTCTCTGCCTTCTGCCAGTCAGCTAATCCTCTATCCATGCCGGTATTTTGCCCCTAACACCATGGGCTCTTATTTAGCAGCCTCCTGTGTGAGAACTTGTCAAAGACCTTCTGGAAATCCAAATAGTTCACATCCGCTGGCTCTCCTTTGTCCAACTTACTCGTTGCCTCCTCAAAGAATGCTAATAGATTTGTCAAGCATAATCTCCTCTTGATGATGCCATGCCGACTCAGCCCTATTTAACCACGCATTTCCAAGTACTCTGAAATCTCACCCTTGAAATTGGACTCTAAAATCTTACCAATGACCGAGGTCGGGATAACCAGCCTATATTTTCCTGTCTTCGGCCTCCTTCCCTTTTAAAAAGGGGCATTATATTAGTTATTTTCCAGTTCACTGGGACCCTCACTAGTGTTTCTTGAAAAAAAATCACTGACAACACCCCCACAATCTCCTTAGCTATCTCCTACAGAACACTGGCGTGTGATCCACATGGTCTGGGTTATTTATCTGCCTTCAGGCTTTTAAGCTTCCCCAGCACCTTCTCCTTAGTGATGGCTACTACACTCACTGTCCGAGTCTCTTGAAATTCTGATATTCTGATGTCTTCCACTATGAAGACTGATGCAAAGTACTGTTCAGATCCTGTTTCTTTGTTCCCCACTACTACTTCTCCAGCCTAATTTTCCAGTGGTCTAATGTCCACTGTTGTCTCGCTCTTATCTTTTATATATCTAAAAAAAAATTATGCAATCTTGTATTATATTACTAGCTAGCTTACTCTCCTATATAACCTCACCCTGCAACCCCCATTGACTTTTTAGTTGTCCTCTGCTGGTTTTTAAGGTTTCCTGATCCTCTGGCTTCCCACTAATTATATGCTTTTACTTTTGCTTTTATGCTTCCCTTGCTTCCCTTGTCAGCTATGGTTGCCTTATCCTCCCCTTAGCATATTTCTTCTTCCTAGGGAAAATTTCTGCTGTGCCTCCTGAATTACTTCCTGAAACTCCTGCCATTGCTACTTTTTTTTTATAGAATCCCTACAGTGTGGAAACAGGCCCTTTGGCCCAACAAGCCCACACTGAGCCTTGGAGCATCCCACCCAGACCCAGACCCAGACCCATCCCCCTGTAACCCACTTAAGCTACACATCCCTGAACACTATGGGTAATTTAGCATGGCCAATCCACCTAGCCTGCACATCTTTGGACTGTGGGAGGAAACCGGAGCACCCGGACGAAACCCACGCAGACACGGGGAGAATGTGAAAACTCCACACAGACAGTTGCCCGAGGGTGGAATTGAACCCGGGGCCCTGGTGCTGTGAGGCAGCAGTGCTAACCACTGAACCACCGTGCTTCCCTACTAGGATTCCCTTCCAATCACCTTTGGTCAGCACCTACCTCGCGTCTTTGTAGTTACCTTTATGTCTGATTCAAGCTTCTCCCTCTCAAACTGCAGGGTGAATTCTATTATATTATGGTCACTGTCCCCTAGTGGTCCATTCACCTTAAGTTCCCTCCTCACACATAACCAAATCCAGAAATTCCTGTTCCCTGGTGGGCTCTACCACAAGCTACTCCAAAAAAAAATCTCATATACACTTCATGAATTTTTTTTCCTCAGGATCGCTACCAACCTGATATTCCCAGTCCAGCTGCATGTTGAAGTTCCCATGATTATTGTCATAGTGCCTTTTCTATCTCCTGATTTATCTTCTGTCCCACATCCTGACTACTGCTAGGAGGTTTGTACATAACTCCCATCAGAGTCTTTTTCCCTTTGAGGCTTTTCAACAGAAGATTTTATACCTTCCAACTCTGCATTGCTTCTTGCTATCGATTTAATTTCATTTCTGACTGAAAAGGCAACCTGCTGTCTCTGCTCATCTGCCTGTCCTTTCACTGGGAAATGTATCCTTGGATATTTAGTTCCCAGCCCTGATCCCCTTGCAGTCACGTCTCTGTGATGCCCACAACATCGCACCCACCAATTTCAATCGGAGCTACAGGCTCACATACCTTGTTTCATACACTGCACTCATTTCAGTACAACACCCTCAGCCCTTTGTTCACTGTCCCCTACTCATAGTTATACTATTATCTGCTGTGCCTGAAGTTAGATTCCTGACCCTTTCCATAATCTCGTGCTATTGCTTGTCTAGAAACTTTCATAACCTCTCCTTAGCTCTCCTCTCCTTTAACCAGTTTGAAGTCAATCTTGATTTAGCTCAATTTGCAGCATCCGTTCATCTACCTTATTACGAATAAGATACAAAGTCTGTTCCATTGTCAAGTTTCCCTTTCCTATTATGTTTTCTTGGTACAATATAACATTCACACATTCTGTCCTTTTTATTTTTCCGGTAACAG